CTCCCGCCTCGGCCTCCTAGAATGCTAGGATTACAGGCGTGAGCCACCGTGCCCAGCCAACCACTGGAATATTTTACAAGCATCTATAGGGGAGGAAAGATTTCTTTCCTTACCTATTGTTAGGTTCATGGCTGAGGCACCCAAAATAAAAGACAAATTAACAAGAGAAAAGCATACATATTTATTTAAGTTTTACATGACACAGGAGGCTTCAGAATTGAATACCCAAAGAAACAGGGACTTCTGTGTATTTTAATGCTTCATTTTGATGAAAAGTGGACAGTGGTGCAGAAGAATGATTAAACAAAGTGGATTTGATCTAATAGTAATAAACTTGAGGGGAAATTTACCAGGACCTGTCTGTTCAGATTCTTTTCTGTGTCCCTCTGTCTTCCAAGATAAGAACATTCCTTTCCTCCAGGTATAAAGTAGTTACCTCTGGAATGAAGGTTTTATAACCTGCTTGAGGAGAGGAAGAAGGAGGGGAAGGTGAGAATGAACATTTTGCTTCTGTGGTTTTCTCAAATGCCGAAGTGCCATATTTTGGGATAGCGTGTCCTAAACCCCAGCACATCTTAAACATGCACCAAACTGAACTCCTGACCTTTTCAACAAATCTTTCCACTGTCTTTAAAATCGTAGTAAAGGACAATTTCTCCTTCCTTTGGAAAAGCCAGCAGCCTTGGATCATCCTTGATTTCTTTCACACTGCATATTTATTCCTTCATAAAGTCCTGTTGGCTGTACCTTTGAAGTTTATCTAGTACCTGACCACTTTTTACTGTTTCCGCTGCCACCATGTAGGTCCAAGCCACCATCAACTCACTTGAATTAATATAGCCTCCTAACCAATCTCTTCATCTTTGTTTCCCTATGGTCTGTTCTTTTTTTTTTTTTTCTTTTTTGAGACAGAGTCTCAGTCTTTTGCCCTGGCTAGAGTGAGTGCCGTGGCATTAGCCTAGCTCACAGCAACCTCAAACTCCTGGGCTCAAGCGATCCTCCTGCCTCAGCCTCCCGAGTAGCTGGGACTACAGGCA